CCGATCACGGATTAGCGTAGTTTCTAAAAATCCAGCTCGTGTCGGATATTTGGAATGAGTTGAGTTGCACTTCGGGGTATTCTCCCTTTGTGACGCCTCCGAAACGTTTTTCAGGCACGCTCGATTCTCAGCGCGGCATTTTTGATTTGTCTTCCAACTTCGGTTTTTATGAGAGGCTCTTGAGGGTTAGAAAGTTCTTGTATAGGTAGCCAACGGCTTTGAAACGAGCCGCCCTTTTTGCATCACTTTTAACAAGAGTTTTCCATACGTTTCTAGTAGGCTTTCGAAATAGGCTTTACCTGGACAACCTGCCTAATATCAATGCGGGTCAAGTTTTGCATGCCACTTCGTGTGCTTGCGATATCGGCTTTACTGAGGCACACCTTACGGCGGTATAGTTGCCCTCGCCAGCTACTGAGCCATGTCTTAGGATGGCATAGGTGCCCCGCAAGGTTACTAAGGCATGTCTTAGGATGGCATAGGTGCCCCGCAAGGTTACTAAGACATGTCTTAGGATGGCATAGTTGCCCCGCAAGGTTACTGAGACATGTCTTAGGATGGCATAGTTGGCCCGCCCAGTTGGTCAGGCATAGGATGGCATAGTTGCCCCGCAAGGTTATTGAGACATGTCTTAGGATGTCATAGTTGCCCCGACCAGTTGGTCAAGCATATCTTAGGATGGCATAGTTGCCCCGCAAGGTTATTGAGACATCTTAAGATGGCATAGTTGCCCCGCCCAGTTGGTCAGGCAAATCTTGGAATGGCATAGTTGCCCCGCCCGCTGGAATCCATCTTGCTCAGAGCGACACAGGGCTCTGCAATGTGTCAAGATAACCTTCAAGAGAAATGCTGTCTGAATCGCGCCATTCGATGAATCGATTTGGTGATCAGATGCGAACTGTATTTTTAATAAAAATTTTTTATACGTCTGACGGGAATGACATTCGGTGATTGTCACCCTCTAGGACCACATACACATTGTGCCTGATACAGCGGGATCACCTGTTCAGAGGTATAGGCTGTTCATAAAAGGCTGGTCTCAATGCACAAAACTAGACAGCAAAAAGGATTCGCCTCCCATGTGAACCGAAATGCGGGGACAGGACTTGTGACGCGTATCTCGGCTTAGCGTTGTCGGACTGCCGCGCTGGGTTTGGTGGAGTAGTGAATTACGAGGAGTTTTTTCTCCGTTAGTCACTGTTGTTTGTTTGGTGAGAGTATGAAATCTCGTCACACTTCAAGCAGCGCGTCTTCCTCGCTCAATGGAACGTCCGGGAGTCTAGAAGAACCTATCATAGAACAGAGACTAGATGTAGAAGACGGCACTACCTTTCCTCCGAAGTGTCTCGAAGACAAAAAGACCGAGAAGACAATATGGGCCCGTCTCTGGCATGGTGATTGGGAGGTAAAAACAGGTCCGGATGGTTACAAGCCATTCTGGTACGAGGCTGCGCTATGTTGTAGCTTCACTACCTTCTTGGCATTTATACCATCCGAGCCCCACTTGACGACCTATCTCAGGGAGGTCAAAGGTTTTACAGATGATCAGATCAACTCTCAGATTTACCCTTGGTCCACTTACGCATGCATACCCTTCCTTTTAGTCGGTGGTTGCCTATCTGAGTTTGTTGGCTACAAACTGGCACTCATTCTTGGAGCAATGGGTCGTTTAGCTACCAGATTTCTGTTGCTGTTTGGTAATAGTTTGCTTGACATGCAGATTATGCAATGTACATACGCCTTTGGTACCGCGGCCGAGGAAATCTTCTATGGCTATCTCTTCCACGTTGTGCCCAAGGAGAATTATCAGAAGCTAACGTCGATGAACCTGGCGTCTCATGTTTTTTCCCATATGATATCTGGTATAGTAGGTGATGTTATGATCAATGCTTGCCACATGAGTCAAACCTCTCTCATGTGGGTTTCGGCTGCTTCGGTTATTGTTGCTGCTATCATAGCGCTTTTCCTCACTGGTGTTAAGCGCGACAAAGCTCCTAGGCCTAAGGAGGTGTGGAAGGCTATGAAGTGGGCTTATGAGGATAAGGTTTATGTTCTTATTCTGTTCTGGTGGATATTCGGCAATTGCGCCTATGGTCTTATCGATGGTTATGAAGCTTCACTGTACGATATGATGATGGTGGAAGA